CCCTACTATCAATGGCGCCTCCAGCCTACTATCAATGGCCTCCACCCTACTATCAATGGCGCCTCCAGCCTACTAGCAATGGCCTCTAAATTGATTGAGAAACAGCTTTGGATCGAGGTCTCTGGAGCGACAACTCGAGGGCCGCGCGCGGAAGGTGGTGAAAGAGAGGCGAGGGCTGAGCCTGCTTGACTCGGGGGAATGGGGTAGATTGGAGCAGATGACAGAGCCAAATGCATCACGTGATTCCATGTTTTGGTGGTAGAATAGTAGTCAAACCCATGAAGCTGCTTAAACCCATAAACATGTCTTCCACCTCTGCTTTTGTTTTGCACAGGGCGTTGGTTGGATAATTGGTTGCAACCCAAATTCGGTTGAAGGTGTGAATACTAATGTCTTCTCGATTCTGTTTGGACGGAAACCTTTCGAAACGCGGTGCTTCGCAGCTGATCCAAGCATGTTCTGTCCCTTGGTGGAGTACCCAATGTGCAGGGGGGAGACTGTTGAGGGCATAGGGCTGCATGTTCTTCCTTCCGGGACATTCCAAGACCCCACAGGATCAACCACCGGAGTCCGACTCGGCCCAGGACCCGCAACACCATGGAAGAACGCCAGACGGAGATGTTCCGCGGCATGAATGAGGTGCCAACCGCTTCGTCCTGGAGAATATGGGGCCTGGTCTTTCCAAAAACTTCACCCCTCAGGAGCCCAAAAAGGTGCCAATGAAGGGACTGAACATCCCGTTCAACATCTTCGGCAGTCTTGCCACCGGGATCAAACCTGAGATTTCAGGAGGGCAACCTAATCAACCCAATCGAACACGAGGGATATTGCATTCCAGCACCTGGAATCATACTCAATAGCTTTATAGGCAGTATCGACGCAAATGCTTCACTGTCCAAACTGGTGCATGGCAACCCACTATCAGATCACCGGCCATGGGGCACAGGAGGATGCGCCAGACTTTGATCGACACTGGCAAGAACGGGCTGCCGGGGTGCTTAGCAGATGAAAGTGCTGGATGAGCTCAGTCCCTAGTAGCTTCTTGCTCCTAGTAGTAAGGCCAGGAGCCCCTAGTAGCGTCCTTGCTCCTACTAGCGATGCCAGGAGTCCCAACGCTTGGCGGAAGTTTTCGAAAAAAAGTACTAGCTAGCACTTCCCTTGCCCCATAGCGCCCCGAACCTGAGAGTGATTCCTTCACGGGCAGTGATACCTCGAGCAGAATGTTTGTGCCAGTCCTTGGCTTGCGTGGTTACATTCACAGGGGATCAGGGTTAAACAGAAAACTGGCCTGAGTGGTTGGCTCTAAACTGAACTTCCAAACATTGGATCTCCAGATTTAATCAGACAGCATGCAAGAGCTTTTGAGTTTGCTAACTTGGTTGCACATGTGCAGATGGATCGGTGAAACAGAGACACAGCAACGCAACAAGTGTAGAAACAAAGCTTCAGGTCTTCCACTGGCAGGATTGTGAAGATGATGTAGGTGGCGCAAACCCTATCAGCATCGCGAAGGAGTAGGGGGAGGAGGAGGAGGAGAAAAGAATAAAAGAGAAGAGAAAGGAGAGCTGGTATGGTATTGTTCAACCGGAAAAAAAGTGCGAGAAGAAAATTGAGTACGTAAGAGGAGACAAGGGCTTGGGTCAGACCACGTGGTTGGAACCATGGTGGAGAGACATCACTTGCGCTTTTTTGAAACGTCATTTGCAAAGCGTGGCCGAAGGAATTTGCTAAGTCACGCTAAGTCGGCTGCTTTGCATATCGTTTGCATCCCCTCTTTATCGGCCTATACTCCCGAGCCTTCGATGCCCAGAGCTTTGTTTTGCCCAAGGCCTCGCCTCCCTACTTAATTAAGTAGGCGGACAAACTTGTAAGCTACTAGGCTAACTAAGTTGGCTTCTAGGTAGGACACAGGATAGTTCACGCTTCCTTGAAGAAGCGCTCGCACTAATGATTTGCTTCCACAAGAAGAGACACAACGAGAAGAGGAAAAGGTGGCGTTCATTCATGGGCTTGCGACCGGTGCATGCAGAAACAGCTTCCGTCAATGCATGGACTCAAAAGGATGTGAATGTGGAAACAAGCACAGACTGCGGACGGCTTCCTAGATTGTCGTCTTGCCCCACCCGATTAGTTTGCGTTGCGCGATCTTTGCAATACGTTTGCATGTTCTTGGGGGCCTGTGCAAGAGGCTCCACGAGAGCAGATTCCATGCTCATATCCTTCCAGCTCGAAGCCCCAAGTCACCGCGAAGACAAGAATATGCTGCAAACTCCATCTCCAAGCTGAGGAGGTGAGATGAGCAGAGGAGTTTGAGCATCTGCGTCATGTTGTGTTATGATTCTGTCCAACACCAAATGCCTCACATCCACCCCAAGATGTTCATAAAGAATCAACAGAAGCAGGCCGCCTCTTTGGCCCTCGACCTGAGGTGCCTCATTTGCCTCAGCACCAGGCTGGAGGGATGTTTGAACCACAAGTGTTTGCTAATAGACTAACGCTTTTTGGATGAGCTGATCAGCTTTTTGTGACTCCTTTGGTCCTTTTGAGGTGGGCTTCGGGCGGCAGCTGGGCGACCAGAGCCGCGCCCGAGGAGCCAGCCGACCCGCCAGACTCGTCCGTCGAACTCTTTTGGATGTAGGCGACTGGTTGTGCCCTAGTAGCGTCCTTGCTACTAGGAGCAAAGGGCATCGCTACTAGGAACAAGGATGCTACAAGGGGTTCCTGGCCCTAGTACTAGGAGCAAATAGCTATTAGAAGCGTCCTTGCTCCTAGTAGCGATGCCAGGAGCCCCTAGTAGCTTCTTGTTACTAGTAGTACAGCCAGGAGCTACTACTAACGTCCTTGCTACTAGTAGTGGTATTGTGCTAGAAGAGGCAACATGTGATTGTTGAGGGGTATGGCAGGCATTCTCCATACACTCGTACTTGAACCTGTGCTACCCGGAAAGCAGTATTCTGCAAGGCACATTCACCACATGGTTCCCAATATACCGCAGTCCACGTAGTGTTCCACTTGTTCCACAGCTCATGCGCCTCACAAGGAGGTGGCGGTCGAGCACCTGCGGCCGAACACCAAGAAGACGTCTACTGTATTGTGCAGGAAAAAGATTGCCTCCCACCTACCAGCGATGGCCTCCAACCTGCTAACGATGGCCTCCAACCTACCAGCGAT